CAACATCTATGTACATGTGAAAACTTGGGAAAATCCAAAGGGAAACCCTTAGGATGAGGCCCACAACACCCAACACAGAAGAAAATCCTTAGGACGTGACTTTCAGCACCCGGGACATCTCAATGTACATGTGAAAACCAGGAAAAATCCAAAGGCAAATCCTTAGGATGAGGCCTTCAACACCTGTGTACATTTGGAAACCTGGAAAAATCCAAAGGGAAATCATTGAGATGAGGCCTCCAACACCCAAGATGTCTCAATGTGTACATGTAAAAACCTGGAAAAATCCAAAGGGAAACCCTTAGGATGAGGCCCTCAAAACCAAACACAGAAGAAAATCCTTAGCATGAGGCCCTCAACACCTGGGACATTTCAATGTACGCAAGAAAACCTGGAGAATCCAAAAGAAAATCGTTGGAATGAGGCCTTCAGCATCTGGGATGTCTCAATGTACACTGAAAGATGTGGAAAAATCCAAAAGGAAATTATTGGGAGGAGGCCTTCAACATCCAACACAGATGGAAATCCTTAGGATGAGGCCCTCAACACCTGGGACATCTTAATGTACACATAAAACCCTGGAAAAGTCCAAAAAGGAATCCTTGGGATGAGGCCTTCTACATCCAACACAGATAAATGCAGGAAGACCTTGGAATTATCAAGCATCCTGATAAAGTTCTCACTTCCATCTCCAACCATGTCATTTTTGGGACTCATTTTTTCCTACATGAAGCCCCTGTGTTTCCAAAAGCTGTTCCAAAGCTGTGTTTTCCCTGAAAACTAAAATCCAGGAAGCAGGCCAGTGCTGGAAAACATCTCCAAACTGATGAACCTTTGCACAAAGTCTGAGGGGGTTCAGCCTTCAGTCCTGAGGGGGAAATTTATCCCTGGAAACACGACTTGTAAAACAGAGGGAAAATATCATGATGGAAACCTTTCAAGGAATATTTTCAACTTGCCATGTCAAACCCAGAGAAGACAATATCCCTTTATTCCATTCCTGGAAGTGCCAACCACAGAGATTTTATTGAATTAATCCAACCAAATGAAAATGGTGCAGGATGAATTTTTCCCCTTGGAAGTGCACACAATAAAATAGCAGGAATTACTGCAGGTCTGGATAAATTCAACTCGATGTGTTGGACTTTTCAAATGCAAATCCCCACTGCAGTCAGGAGCACACGTTAGCAGGGGCAGCAGATTGAAAATTGCACATTTGAAAAATAGCTAGAGCAAAAATGGGGCAAAATCCCCTCACTGAGAGAGCCCAAGGGAGAATTTAAATTATGTAAAGCAGGAGAATGTTTTAAGGTGAGCCAGATTGCCCCAGTAGAGTTTAATGTGAAGGGAATCACTTTGAAAACGGCACAATAAAAATGAGGCAAGGTGGGAATGGCACCATCAGGGGTTGTGCTTTGGGACCTGTCACTCCTCAGCACCGGTAATTCCTTCTGGTAGTCCTTGAAGGATCTTGGTCTGAACTCAGAGAACCTTCCAGAGCCTAAAGGGGCTCCAGGAGAGCTGCAGAGGGACTGGGGACAAGGGATGGAGGGACAGGACACAGGGAATGGCTCCCAGTGCCAGAGGGCAGGGATGGGTGGGAGATTGGGAATTGGGAATTCCTGGCTGGGCTGGAATTGCCAGAGCAGCTGTGGCTGCCCCTGGATCCCTGGCAGTGCCCAAGGCCAGGCTGGGCATTGGGGCTTGGAGCAGCCTGGGACAGTGGAAAAAGTTTTTCATGGAAAGAGTGATAAAGTTCTGGAATGTTCTGCCCAGGGAGGTGGTGCAGTCCCCATCCCTGGGTGTGTTTAACAAAGCCTGGGTGTGGCACTGGGTGCCAGGGCTGAGCTGAGCTGTTGGGGCTGGGTTGGACTCTATGATCTCGAAGGTCTCTCCCAACCCAGTGATTCTGTGATTCTGTGTCCCTGCCATGGCAGGGGTGGGACAAAATGAACTTTAATCCTTTCCTATCCCAATCCATCTGGGATTCCATGAGCAGGAAATGGCTGAAGTGCCTGTCCTGGACAGTTCCTTTATCCCACATTCCTCACAGCTGGATCTTACCCTCCTTGGAGCCGGTGCGGTCGGCGTTGGGCCCCGTATTGGGCGTGTACTTTGTGTCCCTCGTGGCAGTGCTTTGTTTTGTCCAGTCAAAGTTGTCGGTGTCATCTTGAGTGAAAAGGCAAATGTTCCCATCCTCAAAGCCACAGTGGAACTCTCCTGCCAAAACAAATAACAGCAATTTACTGGCCAAGGTTTGCCATCCGATCCTTATTTTTCAAACTCCTTGTCAATTATCCACAGTTTTCTTTAGCAGCAAGCTCAACAAAAAAAACCCCAAAAACAAACAAACAAACAAATATATATATATATACACACACATATATATATATATATATATATATATAAAATCAGGGTCATCGATTTGCGCTGGTGAAATTGAAATTATATATATATCTTTTTGTAGAGCTCCTCCCCATCTACTCAGATTTATACAGTGGTTTTTAGAGGTGTTGTCTCTTTTCACATTTCTAAAAAGCTGGGGAGAACAGAATCATTCTCATAAAACATTAAATATGGGGGGGGGGGAAATGTGGGAAGTGGGTTAATGTGGTTTAGGAATAAGAGACAGCAGTTTTTCAAATTGTAAACATTATCTCCAAGTGGCATCTCCTAAATTATCCTTTGTTTCAATAGGGATGGAAAAGGGAGTGGCTAAAATGAGGCAAAGGAGCTTTGGGATAGACATGAAGGAAATGTCTAAAAATCAGGACACTGCAGCACATGGAGGGATACCAGGAGGAGAATTGAGTCCCCATCACCTGATTATCATAACAAATTCCTGGGAGGAATATCTGAATCCATATGGGAAGGAGAGGTGACTGTACCATGTCCTGGACACACCTCCTGGATTTTCACTGGGATTTCTGTGATGTATTTGAAGAAAGTGAAAAACACGTTGGTCGAAAGAATAAAAATTGCCAAGAGCCCCAAGGAGGATTCCTGGGATCCTCTCCTGCATGGAATTGTGAGAGCCCAGTGATCCCAGTGATCTGCCCTGCTGGGTGATGACGGGATGAGAAATTCCTCCTGTAATTTAAGAACCAAAACAAAGCCCAGCTTGGAGGTTCAGCTCTCACTCAGAGCATTACAAGGCCCCATGGAGTGGAGCGTGCAAAAGCTGAATTTCACTGCATGAACAATTCCTGCTGAGTTTACTCTTTCTGCAAAGTCCATTGATTTATCTGAGAAAAGAAGGAAATCTCCCTTCTCCAGGGAGAAGGCAGCTGCCTGCACACGGTGTCAGCTTGGAGGGGTGCAATTTATATTCATTGCTAGGAGAAACTCAAACCCCCGGTGTCGGGGGATTGTTCATCCCTGTTAAACTGAGAAGGTGGATAAATGTTTGCAGGTTTGGGCTTTTGGGGAGCTCTAAATCCACTTAAGCCACTGGAGTTTCCCTGTTAATCAGTGAGGAGAGAGGGACCTGGAGCTTAGTGCTGCAACACTCAGGTGATGCTGCAGGCTCAGAAATAAGCTTGGAAGTTTCACTTCGAACATCAGAATGGATTCAGAGTGATTTCCAAATATCCCTGGTTCTCCTTCTGCCTTTACAAAGAACAACACGAAGCCAAAGGGGTCCAGGGGGGATCAGGGAGGAGACTGGGGGGATCCTGCCCCTCTGCTCATCCCTGGGCACATCTGGAGTGCTGTGTCCAGCTCTGGGATCAGCAGGACAGGAGGGACCTGGAGCTCCTGGATCTGGTCCAGAGGAGGGATGTGAGGATGAGGAAGGGCTGGAGCATCTCCGTGCCCAGGAAAGGCTGAGGGAGCTGGGGCTGCTCAGCCTGGAGAGGAGCCCCAGGGAGAGAGGCCTCAGTCCTGTGTGTCCCTGTGTCTCCCTGTCTGTCCTTTCAGTCCCTCTCTGTCCCTGTGTGTCCCTGTGTGTCCCCCTGTCTGTCCCTGTCTGTCCCTATGTCCCCCTGTGTGTCCCTGTCTGTCCCTCTCTGTCCCTGTCTGTCCCTGTGTCCCCCTGGCTGTCCCTGGCTGCACCTGTGTGTCTCTGTCTGTCCCTGTCTGTCCCTGAGTTTACCTGTGTCCATCCCAGTCTGTCACTGTCTATCCCTGTCCCTGTGTCCTCCTGTGTGTCCCTGTGTGTCCCCCTGTCTGTCCTTGTCTGTCCCTGTGTCCCCCTGTCTGTCCCTGTGTGTCCCCCTGTCTGTCCCTGCATGTCCCTGTCTATCCCTGTCTGTCCCTGTGTCCCCCTGTGTCCCCCTGTCTGTCCCCCTGTCTGTCCCCCTGTCTGTCCCTGTGTGCAGAGCTCAGAGCAGGCCCAGGCTCTGCTCCAGGCCCAGCAATGGCCCCAGAGCCAGGGGCAGGGGTTGATCCCAGCAATTCCCGGGCCCAGGAGGCAGAACTCCTGCCCTGGGCAGTGCCCAGCCCTGAGCAGAGCCCAGAGAGGGGCTGGAGTCTCCTCCCTGGGATATTCCAGAGCCACCTGGACACAATCCTGTGCCCTGGGCAGGGACTGGCACCAGTGACCCTCTGTGGCCCCTTCCAGCCTGATCCATCCTGGGATTCTGTGCCCCTCCAGGACCATCAGTGTAAAACACAATCTTATAAAACCAGGTTAGCACTGGAATGCAGTTCCCAGAAACCTCCTTGGCTCTCAGCACCTCGAGCACACTGGTTTGGCTTCCCAGTAAATCCATCAACATCATCAGATCCTCCAGGAGATTTCATTCCCAGAGCACAGCTCCTTCACTGCTGACCTGAGCAGGATGTGGGATTCTGGTTATCCCTGGGACTCAGCATGGTGGGAGCTGCTCTGGGCACCAGGGAGGGAATTNGGGGCAGGAGTTCCCCCAGTTCCTGAGGATTTTGGATATTCAGCAGGCAGGGATTACATCCAAGGACCAAGAGCCAGTTTGTGGTGACCCAGAAACACCCAGTGGGTTTTTTGGCATTTTTAAAATTTAAAATCTTCAATTTTTAAAAAAATCTCTGTTTTACACTTAAAATTGGCTTCTCAAAATCTGAAATACCTTTCCTTTTGAAAGGAAAAGCAATTTTTCTTTTCAAAATTTTTGTCCAGCCTGGAATCCAAAGGATTCAAAGACCGGAGATTTTGGGATTTGTCTTCACCTTAGAAAGCAGAGCAGACCTGGGCAACCTTCAAAATTTGAGAAGAATTAGAGATGCAACAAGGAATGAACTTCCTGAGTTATCCCACTGCGGAGAATTTCTGTAACAAACCACACCAAAAAATCGGGAATGTTTCTTGCAGAGGTCCAATGGCCCTTGGATGTGTTTTGGGGCAGGAGTTCCCCCAATTCCTGAGGATTTGGGATGCTCATCAGGCAGGGACTACACAGCCAAAGAGCAAGGGCCAGTTAGTGGTGATAAAGTTTTAAAAAATTAATCAAATTAAGATTTTAAAGCCAAGTTTTATGTCATTGTGTCAATGATATCTGTGAACTCTGTAGGACAAATATTAAAATATTCCCTATTCCACCTCATCTTTGGATAAGGAACCACAGAAACAGAGATTTCCCAAAGAATTTCAATAATTAACAAGGAAAATTTGCAATTGCCCAAAACAGACATGAATTCCTATCAAATTCAGCCTCTGTTTTGAATTCTTGCCCTTCTTTCCAGAAGAAATAAAATCTCCATAATTTTCTCCTTTCAGAAAGGAAAACAATTACATTTTTCCTTTCAGGATTATCCCTCCAAAACCAGGGTTGGATATTGATATTTCTCCATAGGAAACAACACAGATTTTGACTTTTTTTTTCCCCTCGCAATCAACACCAGCTCTAGTCTAATCCTTATTTTTCACCATGGAAACCAGAGGAAAAAAAATCCAAAACAACAGAAAATTTTCTCTCTGTTGGATGGAAAATAACCCTGATTTTCCAGCTCTGCTGTGGAATAAGTAAATAAATAAATAAATAAATAAATAAAGCTACAGATATATAGATGATACAAAGATAAAATATAAAAATAAAAATAAAAAGCAAATATAAAAATATGCAATAAATATATCAATATATCAAAATACAAATATATAAAAATAGATATATAAATAATAAATATATAAATAATAAATATATAAATATATTGATGTAAATAAAGAAATTCAGGATCTGCCGCACCCAGCTTTGGTTTTCCCACTTGTAAAACCAACCCAGTATTAGAAATGGAGCCATAATCCCAGAAGCTGCTTCCCAAATTTTGGAAAGACCAACAACCTGGGCTGAAAAATATGGAAATAATTGAAAATAAATGGAGCTCAGGACACCCTAAAAATAGGATTTAATTCCTACAGTGCATTGGGGTGCTGGAAACTCCCAGCACTGAGCTGATTCCAAGCTGGAAGCACCCAAAACCGTTTCCCTTGGAGATCTGGGAATCACCTTGGCTCCCCAGGATGGGAAAGAGTCAAATCCTCATCACCGCTTACCAAAATTCTCTGTACACCCCACCCCTAATGTTGAGCCTGTGCCTCTTTCCACGAAAAAGGCCAAGACTGAGGCTTCCAAGAGAAAATCCACAAGGAACAACCATGAAACACAGCCCTGCCCCTCAATCCCTGTGTCCAGAGCTGGAATATCCATTAGAACCAGGATTTGGTTGGAAAAGGAATTTTTGAAAAGAAGAAAGTCTCATAATCAAAGCCCATTTTCTCACAAAGATAAGGATGAAAATCAGGTGGGGAATAACCTCTGGCCAAGCTGGAATTACAGTTTTCCAACAGTGAGGAATTGACTTTGACCAAGATGGAATAACAATTTTCCAGTGGTTTGGGAATATTTATGAAGCTCTGAGGAAAAATGGAAGCAATCCTGGAGAATTTTTTTCCGTTATCCTGTAATTAATTAAGCAGAGAATATCCACACTCTGGCAACTTGGAGCACTGAAACTTTGTCTGGGACAGGACTCCTCTTTTCCTTGGAATGTTTAGGAATCTTTGTTCCCAATGGAGACAGAAAAGAAAAAGGGGCTGAAAATGGGGCAGATTTTCATTCCAGAAGGTTGGAACCACCCTGGTGTTTTTTATTGTATTTGTGTGGTACTCTTTCATTTTATGGGGTGCTTTTTTATTTTATTTACACCAATAAAAGGAGGTTTATTCCATGGTTTTTGCTGGAAAACTCTATTCTCTTAAAACCTTGGAATTCTGGGTTTCCTGAGGAGTTGATCCTCTGGGATGATTAAAGATTGATTCGTTGTGTGCTCAGATATGTTCATAAAAAATAAACAGCTCCTCACTCTGTTGTTCATGGCCTATTGATTTCCAGCAGAAATTCCTTCACTGACTCCTCTAGCTGGACAAAATATCTTTAATTAATGACAATGTTAATTGAAGACAAAAAAATTAATGACAAAGTCAACTAATCCATTGGATACTCCATAAAAAACTGTGTCAGTGTTTAAAGTCATTTCTTTGACATTTATAACCTCACAGATTGATTTTCCTTAAAAAATGAGAGATTTCTTTGGAAGTTTTATACCTAAAATTGGGCTGTTCGGTTCATGGACAAATATTCCATTTGCACATCACAGCGGGAAAATTCCTAGGGGGTGTCTGTGTTATTCCTGCTTTTCTTTCATAATTCTGACTGGAATATAATCAGAGTTTTATCCAGGTTTATATTAAACTGAGGTGTGGCTCCTGTGCCATCTTCATTCCTAAGGATGGATTTGGAATGACTCGGTGACAAATGTCTGGGATTCAGGCAAGCTGTGAAGGATGGTCTGTTCTTGCTGGCAGAGAATCAGGGAATCCCGGAATATCCTGAGTGGGAAGGGATCCCAAGGATCATCCAGTGCAGCTCCAGGCCCTGCCCAGACCCCCAACAATCCCACCCTGCCCATCCCTGAGGGTGTTGTGCTCCCTCCTGGCAGCCTCAGGCCTGTGCCCATTCCCTGGGAAGCTCTTCCAGTGCTGATTCCACCCTCTGGGGGAAGAACCTTTCCTAAAATCCACCCTGAACATTCCCTGCCCCTTCCTGGGTCCCGTCCCTGTCCCAGGGAACGGAAATTGGAAATTGGAGCGGCCCTCAGGAGGAAGTTGAAGGCCACAGCGAGGCCTCCCCTCAGTCTCCTCTTCTCCAGCTGCACCATCCCAATGCCCTCAGCTGCTCCTCACACAATTCCCCTCATTTTCTCTCATTTCTCTCTTTAATTAATATTTTCCCAAGCAGCAGAACCCCAAACGCTGGCTGTGTTTCTGTGTGGAGCCGGTCCTGCCTCCCTGCTCTCCTACAGAGGAGGTTCCCAGCTCCTGTGGATCCATCAGGGACCAACAGCTCCAACCCAGCCCAGACTGGGCAGGTGAGCCTTGGTTTGAGCCAGGGACAAACTGATCCAAAAGTGTCCCAGGTGGGAGTTGGGCTCTGCTCCCAGGGAACAGCAACAGGGCAGGAGGAAATTCAGACATTCCAAGGGAGGTTTAGGATGGATTTCAGGGAAAAATTCCTCCCCCCGAGGGTGGAATCAGCCCTGGAACAGCTCCCCTGGGAATGGGCACGGCCCCGAGGCTGCCAGAGCCCCAGGAGCTTCCAGGGATGCCCAGGGTGGGATTGTTGGGGGTCTGGGCAGGGAAGGAGTTGGGCTGGATGATCCTTGGGATGCCTCCAACTCAGGATATTCCATGATGATATTCCAGCTGCGTGATAAAGCTCTTTCAACAGTGGGCACAGTCTTTCCCAATTAAACCATTCCTAATCCAGAACAATCCTGGGCATGTAATCGAATTCTTCTTGCAGGATTATATCAACAATCCTCCCGGACTTGCTCCTCCCATTCATTTATATTATTTCATTACTTTACAACATTTATCATGTATGTAATTGGATTTGTGAGATACATGTATTAAAAAAATCTCTTTTCCCCCTTTTTTCTAGAAACAAAAATTCCCAAGTATTTAGGAATAAGAAATATGAAGCCCAAGGATGCAGAATGTGTTAAATACAGATTTTATGGGCTACAAATTGACAGCTGAGAAATTCAGATGTCAGAAACAGCTGGTCCTGAGCCAGATTTATTGTCTGAGATCTGAGGATGAAAGGCATGGGAACACTTCAGGGAAAGTTGAAAAGCTGAGGAAACCACAGAGCCAACAATGAAATCCTCTTGAAATGTGGAAAACAGCTCTGGGATTGAAGGCAGAGTGGGAAATGGTCACTGAGAGAGGGATCCTTTTATCAGAGTGAATTCAAACTCCAGCACCAAGATCTGCTAAAATCTGGAGAATTGGGGTAGAAACCACTCTGCCTCCTGGATTTCCATCCCAAGGGATGATAATAAATCATCTTGGAAGTTCTGGATTAGGATATTTCAGTCCATTTGGTAAATAAATGGGAATTTGGGGGATTGCTCAGCTGGGAGGGGGATGGTGTTTCCTTGCTTTGAACAACTTCAAACCCAGAGAGAGAGAGAGAGAGAGGATGGTGTTTCCTTGCTTTGAACAACTTCAAACCCNCAAAGTGCCAGCTGTGCCTCTCCAAGAATTCTTCCTACACCACCTGAGATCCAAATTCTCTTGGTTTACCCCACATCATGTAAATTTTGCTTCCACCTCCACTGTTGCAACTTCCTGCAACACAGAAGTTGCTGCTTCTACACAAAGGGATGAAATTAAAAGGCAACATTTGAATGAAGGAGAAAAGTTTTGATTCCCAGATCCAGTCCCGGAGCAAAGTGAACAAAAGAAAGAATTTTCAGCGATTCAGCACTTTCTGCACTGCCCCTCCAGTGTCTTAAAAGCTGCATAAATGTCTTCTGCCCTCAGAACTTCATTAAGAAATTCCATATCAGCAGAACAAAAGATTTTTTTTCCTGAGGTGAAGAAAAAAAAATAAGATAAATATTCAAGCCAGATGAGGAAAAAAAAAGAAGAGTCAAAGTTTGCCATTTATTTAATAGTCAAACATTGATTTCATGTGGAATACCTTGGAAAAGGTTAGTGCTAAATGTTCTTGGCACTGAACACTCCTTAAAAAATGACAGAAGAAGAAAAATGGGGAAAAAGCTCCTCAGGCTTTGCTCCATACTTTTGCAGGAGCATTTAAACGGATCTGGATGGTCTGGAGCTGTTAATTGCTGAGCAGGAGGGCAGGAGGAACAAGCAGCTCTTCCACAGGTGCTCCAGCCACAGCCCTAACGATGGTGCTAATTAACATTAATGAGAGCGGTGGTTTTTGTCAGGGCACATGGCAGCTCTGGAAGGGGATTCAGGTCATTAATAATTTCCTTGCCAATTAGAGCAAAAGCTGAAGCTGTTCTGGAGGTGAAACCCTTCGTTGTAGCAGGGATTTGTGTCATCCATTCCCATAAAATCCAAGCTGGATGTGACTCCCGAACATCTCCTCTCTTCTATTATTCAGGGGTGACCTCTAATTGTACAAATTGATCTAAAATCCTCTGGTTTACATTAAATGGTTTCCTTTAGGTGGTAAAAAATGAAGTGGAGAAGTGAGGCTTCATCTCAGAGTTGAAGTCTTTCGATGCTTTTTGCTTGGGTATTGCAGAGATTGCATCAAAAGGCAGGATTTAGGGAATGGGATTATTCCAGAAATTAAGCAGGAAGAGCATGACTTCAGTCTCCAGTCAGGAATCTTGTCCTGGTGGGATACAGCTGTACAGATTTAATATATTAATTAGCAAGAGTCTCATTCCCTGCTCGTTAAGACTCCATGGGAGAGGTTCCTGCAGCTCCCGGCAGTTTTGAGCTAAGCCCTGCTTAATTATTAACATGTTGGACAAGATCTTCTGCAAATAAGTTTAAAATTTACACAAAGGCTCAAAGTTAAGTCTGAGGGAGGGAGCAGGCTCTGCTCCTTGCCTGATGGCTCCACCTTGCAGCAGGAAAAATGGGAGACCCGACCTAATTCCTTAGGCAGGGAATAATTTGGGATGTGTTATTAAAAACAAGACTATGTTGTCACAGAAAATATGGATTCGTTAGGGTTTGGGAGAACATGATGGAGTAGGGAGATGTGGGACTGTGGGAACAGGGTGGTTTTACTGGGATGTGCCAGCTCTCCAGCCCAGCCTCCTGCCTGGATGTTTGCAGGGATTTGGTGCCCATGGAAAAGTGGAAGAGCCAAGTGTGACTTTGACATTTCCACCTGGGACACCCCTGTGTCAGAGTTTGCATTCCCAGTCATGCCTGAGTGTCCTGAGGATTTGGGGAGAACCCAGATCCTCTTGGGCTCTCCCCATTTCTCTGTGCAATGATTCTGTGATTCCTGGATCTCTGTGGGGAAGAACTTCCTTCTTTTTGGTTTCCATCTGCCCTAAAAAACATGGAAATAACTCAAGATTTTCCTTCCTTTGTCCTTGCTGGAACAAGAGGAATCCCAAATGACACCTTCAGGTGGTTCCTGTTACCCATGGGCTGCAACTGGAAGCAAAATACTTCAAATTTAATTTTCAACTGGAAGCAAAATACTTCAAATTTAATTTTCAACTGAAAGTAAAATACTTCAAATTTACTTTTGAACTGTGAGGGACAACCAATGCAAAGGCTGTTCTTCATGGCATGGAAGATAAAATAATAAATAATTAAAATACTTACGGAGATGTGGATTCACCGGAGCTGGAAAACAGAGGGAAAAATAAAATTAATGCAAAGAAAAAAATTCTAATCCAATATTAAGATTATCCTAAATTTCCCCTTGCTGAATATTGAAATTCATCTACTTTATTCCTTAAAAGTCTGGAAGAGAATGAAATCCAAACCTTCTCAATGTCCACAACATCCTCAGCGTGGGAATGGCTTCCCAGGTTAATCCAGAGGAATCTGTGCAAAGCTAAAACCTGGGAATGGGATGGAAGGAGGGGTCATTCTGTGGCTCTGTTTGCAGAAGGAGAAATTTGAGGAGGGATGATTTAGGAGAAGGCCCTTCTGCCACAGCCCCACACACGTGGGAGGCAGAAGGAGGCTGAGATCAGGGCTGGAATTTAATTTTATCCACAGAAAATCCAAAATTAAATCTTATCCCCAATTAACGGGGACATCTGACAATGCCAGAGCACCACTCCAGGTTTTCCTGCTGCCCTTCCTTGCTTTAATCCCAGCCTAAGATTCAGCAAAATCCCAAATTCAATCTGGATTTTCCACAGCAGCTCTGAATCAGCACCGCTTTACCTGAAACACGAGCAGCCATTTGCTCCAGTGTCATCTCCCCGAGAAACCCAATCTTTACATCTTTTACCTACAAATTACCTCTGATTCTCCAAAAAAACCCCTCCATTTTACAGGATCCCTGAGTGATTGAACCTGGAATCAGCTGCATTGACTGAGGCTTGATTTGTAACTAAATGCGGGGCTTTGGGTGGAAAATCTCATCAGGTGTCACCTCGAGTCGCACGGCTTGGATTGTTCCCAGCAGAGCAAAACCAACGCTCTGTGTCACAGCCAGGCACAAGAACAGACAAGAAAATGAAGGTGGTTAAGCTGAATTTATTCAGCATCATAAACCTGGGGGAAAAAAAGCCCTCCGAAACAACCAGAAAAAAAAAAAAACACAAAAATCCCAATTTTGGAGCAGCACAGCTGCAGGACAACGTGTAAAGGAGGTTGAGGGATCCTGGAGCAGTTTGGGATGGGTTTAGGGGAAGATTTTTATCATTTTGGTGAGAATTTTGTGGCAGGAAGATGGTGGTAAACAAGGAATCATGGAAGTGGCACATTTAGGGATTCTTCAACCTCCTCTTTAAGGTCCTTCTTGCTCATTCATTGCAAGTTTTAAAGCACAAAAGCAAACAAACAAAAAGAAATTCAATTATTCAATAAATAAACACCCAAAAAATAGGAATTTGGATGGATTTAACACAGGATTGAATTTCTGGGTATATGGTAAATAGGATGTATGGATATTGTGGTTTTCTTTTTAAATGTAAGTGGATTAATCTTTGTCAGAGTGACCTTTTAGAGGGAAATTTATAGAGCCCTTCCATTATTCCTTATATAAATTTATAGATTNCCCAGACCCTGGAGAAATGACTTCTTTTTCCCACGTCAAATGGCCTCTGTGTCCACCTGCCCTGACCGACTGTGGATGCCAAGCGAGAAATTTGCGAACTTTGCTGAATTCCTCAAAACTAAAGCTGCCAGCAATGAGGACCCTGCAAGTCCTTAGAGCCCCAAATATCAACTTTAATCCGATATCCAGACCTTGGGGAAAGGACTTCTTTTTCCCATGGAAAATGGCTTCCAATTGCTGCCACTCACCCTGGCCGATAGGGCAGTGCCAAGCTAGAAATTGGCAAACTTTGCTGTATTTCTCCAAAACTAAAGCTGCCAGCAGCAAGGACCCTGCAAGTCCTTAGAGCCCCACAGGCCACCTCTGTGCTCATACCCAGACCCTGAGGAAATTACTTCTTTTCCCATGGAAAATGGCCTCCGTTTGTGGCCACTCGCACATGCAGACTGTGTGGCGCCAAGCTAGAAATTGTCAAACTTTGCTGGATTTCTCCAAAACTAAAGCTGTGAGCAGCTAGGAACCAACAAGTCCTTAGAGCCCCAAACACCACTTTTAGTCTGATACCCAGACCCTGGGGAAATGACTTCTTTTTCCCATGGAAAATGGCCTCTGTTTGTGGCCACTTGCCCTGCCCGATAGGGCAGTGCCAAGCTTGAAATTTGTTGGAATGTTGGGGGACACAAGACAGATGATGGACTTTGGACCTGGTTGACATAAGAGATTTGATAACAGGATGATTGGCAAAAGCAAAGGGAACTTTGAAAATTAGACCTGGATTGCAAGAAGATTAAATCAAACGGGTTTACAGGAAAAAGAAAATCCCATTGAACTCTGCAAGCCAGAGATGTTGTTACATGCATAAGTTTGTGTTTGTGATTTTAACCTAATCATTGCAGTACACATTACTAGTCTCCCTGAAATAGAATATAAGCATTTGTATCCCACAATAAAATTGGATTCTGATCACCGAGTCTGTCTCCCCGTCCCTCTCCATCACCAACAGAAATTTGCGAACTTTACTGGATTTCTCCAGAACTAAAGCTGCCACCAACAGGGACCCTGCAAGTCCTTAGAGCCCCAAGAGCACAAACATATCAAAACAGGATGACCCCACTGGTGTAGGAATGTGTTCCCTGTTGACGGAGTGACAAAACTATCCTGTGTCCCCTCAAAAAGGAAAGAAGCCCACAGGTTTCTCTCCTCCATTAGGTGAAAAAGACACATCACAGGCCTAGGTCTTCACCTCAAATTTAGGGATAGCTAATTGGACTGAAGCACAAAAGTCCTGCCTGGACAATTAACTAGAAAAAGGAGTGAGCAAAGAAACCAATCGCTTTAGTGAGGTGTTTTACTAAGAGCAAGAATGTTTGGCACTTAGCTCAGTTTTTCTCTGTTTGTTATTTTGCCTTTTATTAAACTTTTCTGTCCCTAACACTGTAACAGAAGCCATCCTGCTGATTTTTATGCCTCCAAGAGTAGCTGAGCTATCTTAGGTGTGTTATGGGCCTCAGAGAGCTTATCAAACCTAGCTCAAGAGGTTGCTGTGTCACCATGGCAGGGAGAAAATGATGCATCTGACTCCATCTTATCAGAAGGCTAATTAATTACTTTATTATACTATATTATTCTATACTATATTACACTATATTACATTACATCTAAACCGAATCTGCCAAGCACTCAGATCTGCTCACACTGTCCAGAATCTCATGTGTGTCACCCTCAGTCCTGACACACACACACACACACATGGCCCTGGCAGGAACCCAAAGCACCCTCACTGTGGGTGAACAATCCCCACATTGCATTCTACTGTGGCACACACAGGCACAGCAAATGATAAGAATCGTTTTTCCTTTCTCTGAGGTTCAGAGAAAGTGAATCTCAGAGATATTCTTGGGCAGAATTGTGCCTTGCTTTCCTCTGTGAAGAGAAATGTGGCGACATAAACAAGGGGGACTGAAGAGAGAAAAACAAGCAGGGTGGGACTGCCTGGGCTAAAGCTGGGATGGGACAATGAACTGCAAGGTGCAAATGGAGCAGAACTGATCCCAGGGACAGAGCCCGTGCCCGGCCGTGCATTTTGGGGCCGTTTTGGTTGATCTTGGGTGCAGCCCTGGCTGGGCTCTGGTGCTGCCCAAGGTGGATCCATGGAGGAGATGCTTTGGATAAATCCCTGCTCTAGGGCAGCCTTGATAAGGCATGACTGGAAATCACAGAATGGCCAGGCAGCCAGGGAATAACTCAGCCAGCCAAGAATTCACCTATCCATCAGGAAAAGGAGGGAAAACACACAGAAATTATCAAGAAATAACTTCAGTGGGGCATTTCCAGATCCAAGGGTTCCAGCTGGAGCCACCCCTCATTCCCAGGATCCAAGGGCTGAGATCCAACTGCAGCCATCCCTTCATTCCCAGGACCCAAAGGCTGAGATTCAACTGCAACCACACCTCGTTCCCAAAATCCAGTGGTTGAGATCCAAACCCTCATTCCCAGGATCCAGGGGTTGAGATTCAACTGGATCCAGCCACTCATTCCCAGTGTCCAAGGTTTGAGATCCAACTCCTCATTCCCAGGTTCCAAGGCCTTGAGAGTTTTCTATTTCCATTCATACTTCTGCAGGGATTTGGCAGTGGGAATCATTGGGAAAGGGCTGGAAAAACCTGGGAAGACATGGCCTGCCTGTCACATGGAATATGGGAGGGATATGGACTCATTACTCCCTTCCCTTAACTGGGATTTCAGGAGTTAGTGACAAAACAAACACTGAACTTAGGGATTTTCTCCTCATAACTATCCCTGAAGGTGGAAATAGAGAGGGAGGAGAGGCATTTCAAATTCCAAATGGGACAATTTTCATCAGCAGAAAAGCCGTGAGAAGAGGAGGAAAAAATGCCTTAAAAGCCCCCCAAATGCAAAGGAACAAAGGCAAAATCCTGGGAATAAACAGCAACACGGCACCTATTGATCCAGCTTTTCTCTCCAACCATGCTTTTCTTTTCCAAGCATAAAAAGCCCTTTTAGCCAAGATATTTTTCCCAATTGCCTGGGGAAGGAGGACCTGGAATTAGCCCGGAGTGGAGGAGCAAACAACAATATTCCAAGGAGAGGGAGCAAAGCAAAACCACTGCTGGCAAAAAGGAACTGCAGTGGGAATAAAAAGGGAGCAGCGGTGGAGACGATTTGTTTTCCTTGTTCCTGAGAAGTGGGAATAATGGGAAAAGCTCATGCTGGATGCAAATTATCCTCTTCCCACTCCCACTGCTGTTGGATATAATGGGATCTCCGGGGGGGACTGAGAGGAGCCATAATGAGCCACTTGTCACAGGAGGGGCACTTGAACAACACCGGCACCTTTGGGGCAATAATGAGGCTCCTGAAGAGCTGCATTATCCCAAATCCCTGTGAAAACAACCCTGGGAATGGAGAGGCTGGAAATTCAACAGCACAACACTGAGAGCTTCCCTTGTAAACTTCACGAAGCAGGGAGGTGCTTTGGAGTGCAGGGAAAGCAGAGGTGGCTTCGGTAAGTGTGGGAGTTATGTGGAACATGGAAATGTCCCTTGTACCCAAATCCCTTGACTCTGGATCTTGGGAGAGTGTAGGAGCA